TCAGCCTCAGTTCTACTAATCTCATACCCCTTCGGCAGCTCCAGGAGATTAATCCTAAACCACGTCGGGGGCACATCCTGGATCTGCTCTACACCCGGGAACAACGCCCGAATCTCGCGCAGATACTCAGTGTCCTCCATCACGCGCACATCTTGCACGGCCTTTGCGCTGTTCACCGCGAAGCGCACTTCCACGTATTCGTTGGTGACGGGGGTAATGCACGGTTTGGGTCTGGGCGAGTGGAGATATAATAAGACAGATGTATGTATAGCCAATAGAGCAAATACTACTAGAACGCACTTTGCCTCCTTCCCATATTTCTCAACGTATTTCGCGGCCTTCTCAGCGTCTGCATGCCATCGCTTCCAGATAAACACATTCAGCCCCGAGGCGCCAGACGCCACCGCAGGGCACAAATTTCGGCGAATGGACACGTTGGAAACGATCCAGCCATACGTGTAGTACGGCACTTGCACTGCACCGCGGTTTTTGTGGATGGGGGGCGCCTCGCCGAAGGGTATGACTTCTGGGAAGGAGGTGAACCAGCTGTGCAAAAGTTAAAGCACGGTGTTAACTTCTTGGGTGTGTGGTTGCATGCGGCTCGTGGGTATGAACTTACGACACGAAATTCATATTGAAGACTATATCGGCTGATGGGTGGATGGGTGGTAGCTGGATGGTAGTAGCTGGACAAGTTCGAATCCTAATGCCGCTGATCGAACAGCCGGCAGATTCCAGGTCTTAAGCTTAACTTTGAAGGACCAATTGCGGCCAGTGGCATGGGTCCTACTGTACTGGGATTATGTAAATCGGGCCCATGAACGAATTGGAAAACCCAGGCCAGATAATAAACCGTGACCAGGGCGCCATCGGTGAGTCGGAATCTTGGGTCTTGACTCCCCCTCCAAGCAACACAGACTGCAGTGTATTCCTATCACTAATACTATATGCAATAAGCAATACTACTGTATGTAACAACCTGCATCATGCTAGCTATCTTACTTCCGCCCCCCAGCAACCCCCGCAACCCAACACGCAACGCCTATCCCGCCCAGGAGCCGCACAGCGCGCCACACGGGGCTGATGCGCGCCGCCGCCATATGGTTCGTTTCGCCTCCTCCGTAGCCTGGGCCTCCTCCTGTTCTTGAGCCCCAGTCGCCTGTCCTTGAGCCCGCCCAGTCGCCTGTTCTTGGTCCCTGCGGGAACGGGTTTGATGCGCCTCCTCCTCCCCCACCTCCCTTGTCGTGGTTATTATGATGCAAGGAAGGCCGGACCCCAGATTGCGACGCGAACCCGGGATGCTCGAACGCGCTCACAGGGTCCGGGTCTTCCCCGACGAGCCGCGCACTGCGTACGCGCGCGTTGAACGCTGCACTGTAGAAAGAAGAAACAATGCCATGTCAGGTCAGTCTCGTCGCCATGGGTGAAAGGAAGAGGGGATGAGTAGGAGGCAAGCAAGCAAGCAGGATGATGGAGGAAAAAAAGCCAAACGACATCACAAACACCACCATCCTTCAAAGGCAAAAAACCATCATACAAGGACCAATCGTACAATTAAAAAAAAAGAAAGAAAAGAAAGAAAGAAAAGAAGGTAAAGAGGGCTCACCTGAACCCAGGATGCGTCGCATGCGGATGCAGCGCATGCCTCGGCGGCGCGCGCGGCGGGACCCAGTGCGCACTGTGCTGTGCGTGTGCTGAGGAGCCAGGGAAGAATGACGACGAGGAGCTTGATGTGTTCGACGAGCTTGAGGAGTTTTGGGAGGAGGAGTCTGCTGGGGGAAGAGAGCGTTAGCTGTCAGGCCGAAGGTGGGATGCGCAGGCGATATGCACTGAGAAGGCCACTTGAATGTATGGGAGGAAAAAGAGACGAGGGATATGTATATACACGCATTGAACGAGGAACGCACCTCCATGTGCATGCCCGCCCCCGAATCCGAACCCAAACCCTCTGGAGAAGGGGTTGCCATACCCATGTAGATGTGGGTCATGCCGTGTCTATGAGGTGTGATTAGTTCAACATGTACTAGCACTGATATGGACGAGAAGAAAGCAAGAACGAGGGACAAGGAGAAAGAAAGAACGGATTCGTCCCAAGACAGACGAGAGACCAAGGCATGAGTTATAGGCTCCAGCAAAAGAAACGCTTCGCTCCAGCCCACGAATTCTCCTGCATCGAAGCATATTCAAGAGAGAAAGAAGGAGAAGAAAGACCAAGGCAGGAAGGAAGAAGGGAAGGAAGGAAGGGAACACACCCTGGGATGACTTCCCCACGCATACGACGCCCCGCGCTTGCGTTCGTAGTTTCTCTCTCCTCCTGCTCCTGCACTTCCATATCCTGTACTACCACCGTTGTATCCAGATGCGCTGCCGTACCCAGATGCGCTGCCGTATGCGGACGAAGAATACCCTGAAGGCGGCGCATGTCGTCTCCTCGCTGTACCTACACACAATCAGAGGGGGGGAGCATTCAGCATTCGGCATTCTCGCATGTAGAGGCATAAAGGAAGTGGGGTGGGCTATGATATATGACAGACCATGGCCATGCGCCAGAGATGACTTGATGCATGAGCAAATGGTATACGCACCATAACCTGAAGAAGCACCATGAAACCCACTGCTACTGCTTGTACTCGCCCGTGTACGGTCGTACGTCCTGCGCGCACGGTCGTCGCCGAGGACGGCGTACGCCTCTGAGGCGGCGCGGAACGTCTCGAGGGAGCCTGGGGCGCTGCGTTTAGCGTTAGCTTCGATGTCATTAGGGAGGGGAGTGAGTGTAGGAGGGGAGTGATTGTAGGTAAAAAAAGATTATAGTAGGGACGGACAGGCGTGGAGTATACATGCAAAGTATCTGGATTTATAGTGTGATGGATCATAAACGACTAGGATACTCCGCCAGCCCAGAGAGAATGGGAATAAGCGGCGTGAGGACGAACGCACCTATTCACATCCGGATGATGCTTCTTGCTCAACTGGTAGAACGCGGACTTGAGCTGTGCCTTGGACGCGTCGGGCGGGACGCCGAGCGCGCGGTAGTGGTCTGGGGGCGGGGCCATAACGATTGCCCGAATGTTACGTATTATTGTAGAGTGGTGTCCCCTGTCTGTCCAAGCTGGGAGCCGTATTCCAAGGAGCTGATCAAACGGCTAGTAGTAGTAGTAGATGAGAGTCGTCTCGTGCACGTTGATGGAAAGAAAGCAAGAGTGAATTGGGGCCGATAAGATAAGATAAAACACATCCAAGAATGATGTGGTCTGGCCCTCTCTGCACGAAGAACGACCTCCTCGGTTATGTATACAGCGTTCTCTCATTCCTCCCTCTCCAAGCATCCTGTCAGTGTAACCTCGCTTTATTCACAGTGGCATAGGTGGTCGGCATGATGAAGTCATCCGGGGCCACGGGCCAGAGGTAAGAAACACGTGCTTTGCCAGCGGTTTGCCTTTCTCCTTTTCGTTCGCAGTTTCTTGCCTACAACCTATCACAACCCCCCGACGCTCGACTTGACGACTTGGTTCTTGCCTTTCGATTCTCGCGGCAGTACCACATAATTTTTTCCGGGGCCCTGGCTGTGATGAGCACGTCCTCACGACTGACAAGTACGGTTATGCGACGCCTGGAAGGCCTCGGCGAGCACACGACATCCCCGACGCCCGAGTCTAGCCGTGCATCGTCTCCGCCTGGTTCGCCTACACAGGCATCTCCAGCAGCAGGAACGAAAGGGAAAGAAGCAGTAGTCGGAAACGGACTCGCAGCAACAGGAGAAGCAGGAGGAAAAGGCAAAGGCATATTCGGCCTCGGCGGCGTGCGCAAAACCAAATGGGAAATCCCACGCAAGGTGTTCCACTCCTCCATCGGCTTCCTCACGCTTTACCTCTACCTCCTCCCGCTCCAGCCGCCGTTCGCCGCCCAGCTCGCCTTACTGCTCTACGGCCCCTCCTCCTCTGCATCGTACCCGTTCACCGAAGCCTATTCTCGCGACGTCCTCGTCCCAGGGATAATCAAAGCTCTAATGACCGCGCTCCTCGCCGTCATCATCCCCGCAGACATCCTCCGCCTCACACTCCCCTCCTCCCCTTTCGCATCCCTCTACAACACCCTCCTCGGTCCTTTGATGCGCCCCTCCGAACTGCAACAGCCCAACGGCGTTATATTCTATATTTTGGGTGTATCGTGGAGCTTGAGGGTGTATAGGATGGATGTGGCCGTGTACAGCATTCTGGCGCTGAGTTGGGCGGATACTGCTGCTTCGACGGTGGGCAGGGCGCTCGGATCGTATACGGGACGTATTCCTTGGGCGAAGGGGAAGAGCTGGGCGGGCTTCATCGGGGCTGCTGTTGTTGGCGGTGCGCTGGCTACAGCGTTCTGGCCTGAAGGCGAAATACTCGACGCTTGGGTGCAGGGAGGAGGAGGAGAAGGTGTTTTGGAAAGCGCATGGGCGAAGAGAGCGGTGTTGGCGGTATACGCGGGTGTGACGACCGCGTTGGCGGAGAGTGTCGATCTCGGTGGGTGGGTGGATGATAACCTCACTCTGCCGATTCTTAGTGGTGCGGCGTTGGCGCTGTTGTGTTGAGCACGAATTGGAAAGCCCGTCGTGCCTTGTCGTGGTCTTGCTTCGCTCAGACTCTGAACAAAGACATATCATGTGTAGATACCTGCTAGATCTGCCTCCCCCTCGAAGAATTTAGTGTACCAACGTCTTTTTTTTGCCCTACCTAGTGTACAACCCCATCTTTTCCTTTTTCCTTGTATGAGCTGATGAAGAAGATACGTAGTTTTAATGCCCTTGTCATTTGTGAATAGTATGATGCGAACATGCGAGGAATCAGACGAGTGGTTTGGGGTACTTATGATGTACATAGCGAAACGAAGGTATAATGCAGCGGGATGAAGGGAGGGCGAGAAACGATACGCAGTGCTTGCTGTATGCAACTGCAACTAACACTTGCATACACGCCCTGCCGCCCCTTGCAGGAATGGTATATGCGTTTCTCCAAAAAGTACAAGGCACTATAGCCAAGTGGTTACGGCGACAGATTCGAACTCATCCTTCCCATCTGTTCCTCTTGTAGGGCGCAGGTTCGAATCCTGCTGGTGTCGGTTGCATTCACAAGTGTTTGACATTCTTTTTTGCTGCCGCGCCAGGCCGACCTATGCTGGGGGGGTACAGTACCGGTACCGTACCTATGCCCACTTTGCGGGGATGTACCGTACCATACTGGCCGCTCTCCGGTGACAGCGAGCAGTCACGCCGAGCCTTGTTCAATGTACCGTTGAAGGATTGATTTGTATAAAACTACACCTCTATACTAAGTTGTACCTCACCTATCCTATCCAGGTCGAAGTCACGGTCTTATTATTATTGTCTGGCATGGTGGTTTCGTTCATGGGGCCCGATTTATCATTTACATAATCCCAATAGGGCCATGCCACTGGCCCATGGCAATGCGCGCCGCAATAATCAATTGGTAAGACCCGGAATCTGCCGGCTATTCGATCGGGGTGAGTTGTTGCACGGCCGGCATCACGACCCCAGGTGCTCGAACCTTGTCCAGCTTACCATCATCCACACAGCAAGCCATCGCCGATAGTGTTCAAAATGAATCGCGTGGCGTAAGTGAATAGCCGTGAGCTGGGCAAGACCACAAAGCTAACACTGGTTGGCAGCTGGTTCCTATCATTCCCGGAGGTGATACCCTTTGGCGAGGCGCCTCCGATACACAAACGCAATGCCGTGCCGTATTACACCTATGGCTGGATTGTTTCCAACGTGTCCATTCGCCGCAATCTGTGCCCCGCCGTGGCTTCCGGTGCCCCGGGGCTGAACTGGTTTATCTGGGACCAATGGCATGCAGACGCTGAGAAGGCCGCGAAATACGTTGAGAAATATGGGAAGGAGTCAAAGTGCGTCTAGTATTTGCTCTATTGGCTATACATCTGTCTTATTATAACCCAGGCCCAAACCTTGCATTACCTGCGTCACCAACGACTACGTAGAAGTGCGCTTCGTGGTTAATAGCGAAAAGGCCGTTCAAGACGTGATGGAGGACAGTGAATATCTGCGCGACATTCGGGCATTATTCCCAAATGTAGAGCAAATCCAGAATGTGCCCCCGACATGGTTCAGAATTAATCTCCAGGAGCTGCCGAAGGATTATCAAATTAGTGTGACTGAGGATGATGCAAAGTGGATGTACTGCGAGGATTAACGGTGTAACATACATAGTTTCTTGAAGGTGATACGTACCGAATAGATCAACAATTCTGGTCGCGAAGAGAGCGCGTCTTCCCCACCTTGCTTTCTATCCTCGAATGATAGATGATTGGCGTGACTTGATCCAGCTGAACTTCGCATTTTACGTTCTTCTGCGTGTTGTCCGCGGGGTTTGCTGGAATTTGACAGCCGTGTGGGCTGACAAATACAACGATCATTTGACCATTCACTTGAAGTTTTACTCTGAGCTTCACTCCTTCCTTTTGTTCCACCATATTCTCCCTACAATATGCACCCCGCGCAAAGGTTCGCAGCCGTACAGTGCTGCTTGGCATGGATGTCCTCCTTCAAGTTCAACATTCGACGCCTGGAAGGCTATGCTTACTCTCTGGGCGCTCTGTTCGCAACAGCAATCAGCGACAGTAAGTTTGGGTTTTTCCCAAGACCTTGCACTGAACCATTCCTTGTTGATTCCTTGATAATAGACCATCCCGATATCCTCGTTTCATGCCCCCAGCTTCCTATCTACATCGCGTCAGTCGATCCAGGCAATTACGATACTACGATGCCTGACGGGGAGGCGGAAGGCGTCTACGTCGACGGATCAGTGGTCCTCATCAGTGTCTCCCCTTCAGGAGGACAGAGTACTACAGGCAAATTAGACGACGCCTATCGTCTTTGCGATCCATTGATCTGGCGCGATCTTCTGGTGGACGACATCGTGATCCCACTCCTGCAGGAGCAGAAGCGCAACGCAACCCGAAACCCCGATAATCTTGGGACCTACTACGACTCCACCACTAAGGGCCTTTCCGAGGGAATGTACCAAGTCCAGCAGCAAGCAGTCTTGCTTTTCTCTTGCTTACTCTACTATCAGCAAGATCTTGTTGTCCTCTACGCAGGTGCTGGGGACCTTTACCTTGTGGCGGCCTTGGATCGTGCTTCTGCCGATATGTTGGCGGAACGCAGCGAGTTTGACTTCGACGTCTACAATACGACGAACATTTACAACGCACAGGACCTCGCCGAGAGTACCAGGGGTATGCCGCCGCTGAAGAAGCCGTCCGAGATACAGGCCATGCGACAGAAGCAGGAGAAGGCCCAAGAAGAAGCTAAGCGGGCAGCGCAAAACATTGCCCGGAGCGCCCGGGCCGCTAACCGCCCTGCGAAGGCAAGGGCCGCAACCGACCGAGCCTCACTTATCCTCGAGGCTGGTAAATGCCAGCTTCATCCTATGCTTCCATACAGCGACCAGGATCTAGCGCTGTACCATAAATTATCTTATAGCTCTTCCGGCGGCATATTCCCCTCCGATTTCTGGGCTGAGAAGGATTTTCCAGTGTCGGTGGAAGATATGGCAAGTCGATCTGCCAGACGCATCTCTAGCGGAGTGGGCAATGTTGCTTGGTCGGGTATTATCCGTTACGGCTCCGATGCACATAACCATTACTTTAACATTATTTCCAAGTATATTGGCTCTTTGGCGCTAGCGGAGAAAGCACGCCGAAAGCAGGAGCCAGGGAAGTAGTCTAGTAAATACATGTTCCTATTTTTTCAGCATTATATACACTCGAATGCTCCCCGCTCAATCAACGTGGAAATGCAGGACTACGCGGGGGACGTTAAATTACGCCTGAGAACAAGCCAAGCGGCTGATGGAAGAACTAGACCGTCTTCCCGCGTCCCAGCCAATACCACCCGAGTGTCCCACATATCGGGCTTACTTAGGGGATGGAGAGCATGCCTGTCCATCCGCTAAGGAGGCCCGTTTCCTAGGTTTCTTGAGTAAAACTCGTCGGGAACTGGTACCGGGGTTGTGTCCGGCAAGGGAAGCCGCAAGGCGCCAGATCCGGAGCTTCATTGCTCTTCCCAAACAGGCTACGGCCATCATTGGCATCACATCGCGCCGTACTCCCAAACGCCTGAGGCGCGCAAAGCGTAGAAAGTGTATTTGAGCTGAATAAAATACGGAAGTAATCACGCCTACTCCTGTAAGCATCTTTTGCAATATGGGAGAAACACCCAAAAGGTTTAAGGGCAAGGACATAATGCAGGCTTAGAGTAGGACTTGCAAGACACAAATACCTGCATGCACAGGATATGTCAATTGTAGGTGTTCACGCAGTGTGAAGCCAGAGGAAATTGGTGAGGATTTGTACAGTAGTTTGTAGCCTTATATACGATGAGAATAAGATGTGCATAATTGGCATGAGCCACCAAGACGGAATAAGAGGCAGCGGGAAAGGAGATGAATGAGAGAGACTCCCACCGGCCAATCACAACAATTCCTTCCGACACTCACTCCCGTTCGTCCTCCGATACTCCAGAACCACAGCCCCTCCGTTCTTGAGTGCACCCCCCCGTCCCCCGCCCGGCTAGAGTAGAAGGGCGCTATAGCCAAGGGAAGGGCGCTATAGCCAAGTGGTTACGGCGAGAGATTAGAAATCTCTTCCTCTTTGAGGGCGCAGGTTCAAATCCTGCTGGCGTCGCTAGGCATGGGAAATGCAAACAAACTTTCTTTGTTTGTTATGCAAACACCTTTCTTTGTTTTGTTATGTTAAATTGGTGTGCTTTTTTTTTTTTTTTGGTTTGTGTGATGGTACTATTACTTATGTATGACATGTGACCTTGTTTTCTCATGTGTATGTTCTGTACCCATGTACCGGTCGGCGGTACTTGTGCATGTACCGGTACTTATGCGTATTGAAGCCATCCTTATTTCGCTTCAGCCCGGTCTGCCTTACTAGTCAAAATGGACTTTCTGAGAGAAAGAATTGACAGCGCTAACAGCCGCTGGTCTTTCACGCCGGTGACTGCTTCTCGGCGCGCAAAAAACCGTCGTCCGAAGTCTTGTACGTGTTTGAGTTAAGTTGTTCTCTGCTTGAAAATATAGCGGCCAACTATTTCGCGATATCCAACGTCGATTCATATGCCAATCCGATTTCAGCAGGCTCATGACCGGAATGTTCAAAGTTCATCCTAGAACTGTATACATTCGCTAGGACCCTATATAATATGTACTCATAGTCGAGGTTTATACTCGCTGACGTTGAGGGCAGTGAAGGTCTTCTCTGCGGGCCTCAGACTTCCAATTGTGTGACGGGGCCCAACAGGTATGATGGCTCCGTCGACACGCTCAATGCCAAGCTCTTTCAAATTTACTATTCCGTGCTCCATCGGCTTCGTCTTCTCACGAACTATCGGCCAATTTTAAGTCCCACAAATTGAATGAGAGATCTCGAGAGTGGCGATACCGGACAGTGCATTGCTAGCCAGAATGCGTTGCAAAGATTCTGGGGGCTAAACACGCGACTAGAGACCATTGATCCCCGCCTCCCGGACGCGGAACCGCCACGGGCCACCCTAGCTGTTTGCACACGACTACTCATGGAAGTGGGAATGCAGGGAGCGGAAGCTAGAGGGCTGGAATAGTGAGTTATAGGCGATACCTCGTATGGAGGATGTCATGCGGGAAACGCTCAGTCAACCTGTGAAGCACTACAACGATGCATCCCTATGGTCCTCCTCGGAGTCTGTTTCCTCCACTTTTTGTTTCTTTGTCCCATCAGGTTCAGGCGTAGTTTTTGGCTTGCGCTTCGCACTAACCTTTGGGCTGATGCTGTTGCTTGGCCCTGCTACCGGCGCAAGGGCATCCCGTTCGCGTAGCAACTTGCATATCTCTCGTAGCTCGTCCAGTGGTTGAGAGGAAATGGTCGTGTCGTTGGTATGAAGCCAATCTAGAAACTATTGAACTTCCTCGAGAGGACTTTGAGGCATGGAGCGGGAAATTTGGTAATGGAAGTGGGAGGACGAGAAAGTCCCAGACTGATCAATGATCAGCTTTGTCATTGTGACTCTCGCGGTCACATGCATTGATCAGAGTTTG